CCAGTTGAGCTCGGGATACCTCAATGGTCAAGGTGTGAACTTACCGACCGGGCGATCCGTGTTTCGAACCCAACTGGTGCATCTCTACTGCTGTTTAGACTTGAGCAACCTGGTATTATCTCAGCCCTTGTGCTTCCTGCGAATAGGCACCGAAAGGGTGTTGTAGCTGAGCGATACTTTTCCTAGCAACAGTTCGCTACCTCATTTATTCTTTTCTCTCCCTTCTGCTTTATGGCCTCAAACATAATTAGACTTTGTGATTGTACGGCAATGAAGCTTCAATGGCAATACTGTTGGTGCTGTTTGATTTGTTATTGTTGTTGATGGATGAGCAGTAAACCAACTTTTTGGATCAACATTGTCAAGCGGTTATGAAATTCATAGGTCTGTGATTTGATGACTACGTACGCCAATGAGTATAGGTAGGTATTTCCATAAATGTAATCCGTTTATGTGTCTCTACAGCCGGTAACTTGGCAGATGCCAACCACTCTCCCAACGACGGGTAAAGATGCCATAGTAACGATAGCCCCAAGTGACCAGTGACTTAACCTTGAATGGCGCTTTTAGTGATGGCTTCTTATGGTAAACTCTTACGACTTCTTCAGAAGTCCTTCTTAAACCTACCGCTTAATCCTGCAGATCTGTTGCCTTGAATGAATGCAGGTCAGTGACGTGTAGTTCAAAGTTGGATTTCAACACATCCATTCTGACTGCTATGATCTCCGGTTTGTTCCACGTTTCCAGTAATGCTGGGACTTTTGAACGTTGCAAACGTTTTTTCACATGATACGATTTCGGTCCACCAAATTACCTTTGCAGTTCGATGGGCAGCTCCGAAAAAGCAATACATATCAACAAACCGGATGGACCTTATTTTTAAAACTCTGCACTCTAGCATCCATTCAACCCAAATACTAAGTGGGGTGTATTGGCTAACTGCAGAAGACAGCCGTCGTCACTGTAATCGTAGATCAGTCTCTGATTTTTTATCAACATTATGTTTTTCTTGCCTTTTGTATTTAGGCGAAGTGGGTTTATTCAGCCTTATGCACTCCTCGAGATTGGCCGGTGGCTTACATGTGGTGTTCAATGTGACATTCAGGGTGTTGGGGTGGATCAGTGGCGGTCGCATCGTGCCTTAAAATTTCAGTCCACATGCAAAAAAACCGCTTCGTTTTTGAGTACACCGGTCACCTTGATGATGATAGTTGCTGGCGAGGTAATGTTAACAAACAGTGTTCATCAACTTCAGATAACCACCACTTTTTTACTTCACTGCAAGTGACCAATAATATTTCTGTGCATGACGGATGTGTACGTTTCCCATTTTTGTTACGTAGGCTTTTGTAGGTCAACACCGTATGTTGGGATGAAACAGGAAACTATTTGCTGTCAGGTTCGGATGATCGACGTATCTGTATTACACCTGCTTTTCTGGAGGTGCGTCGTTGACATCTATTCAGCATTTTGTAGGATTCGTTTGTCAAGCCGGCATATTCTCAAAAACTTCCTGCAGACAGTAACGTTTTCACCGCCAAGTTTTTACCGCAGACAAATGGTGGGCAGGTATAATGATGATTCATTTCATACATATCAACTCTGACCTTTTGATCCGTACAGGTTTTAGTTGGCTTCAAGTGCGGTTGTGTACTTCGTGTTTTCACTGACCGGCCTTCAGAGTCAATGATTGAGACGGTCTATTGCCATAGTTATGCGGTTTATGACGTAAGTCGTTTTTCGAAACTTCTGTATGCCCTTATAAATGCTTCTACGCTGAGACCAGTTTGACTCTGTGACTTCTTTTAGATTTTCCTCCTCTTCATTTGTTTTTCGGTTTGTTTGGGCTTATCCATTTGTGGCATAAGGAGGAAACGCGGTTTAGATACTGACTGAGCCGATTCATAGTTGAGTCACTGGTTCACAATGGCATCTGTTCACAATGCCGATAGAAGAAAGCCAGATATTAATAGTTCTGGCCGAAAAAATGAGCTGATTCAGTTCGCCTGGAATCCTAAGCCAAACAATGCGGTATATGATCTGTGAGGTCATCTAAAAGTTGCGCGGTTAAACAGGATTCCACCGACTTTTTGCGGACCATTAAGTGAATACTGCTTGAATAAGCACTATTGAGGACTTCCCCCGACCGCTTTTCTAGGAATTTTACGGATTGATGTCTACCTTAAAAACCAGCTGTGCGTTGTGAACCAATGAATCCACCAGTTCGAAGTGGCTCAGTGGTTAGAGCGTGGATTTACTGACCGAAATGTCTGTGGTTCCAACCTGACCTCTGCCTCTCAACTTCCCCTGTCTACGCTTGGGCAACCTGGCAGTATCCCTGCCCTCGTGCTCCCTTCGGGTAGTATAACAGATAGGCACCGAAAGGATGTTACAGCTGATTGATTATTATTATTATTATTATTATTATTATTATTATTGTAGTTCCTCAACTGAAAACTGAGACTTCGGGCATTTAGTCTAACTGTCTGTCTGTCTCATTTTCTGTCAAGAACATATCATCCTGTACGCGTCTCGCTTCTCTGTACCATGTAGTTACCCGCCGAAAGACAAGCACATTGTTGTAGTTCCTCAACTGAAAACTGAGACTTCGGGCATTTAGTCTAACTCCCAGTCTGTCTCATTTTCTGTCAAGAACATATCATCCTGTACGCGTCTCGCTTCTCTGTACCATGTAGTTACCCGCCGAAAGAACGACAAGCACATTGCACACTCATTTTCTACCTCAGGCCAATTCATCGTCCTGAAGAGCTAGTCACTTAAGAACCGACCACCTGGTCGACGAACTGTCTAGTTTATCATTTGCTACTTCATCCATTTTCTTGTCTACCACACACCACAAAACAGCCTGAGCGAACATCTCCACCCAAATGGTTATCTTAATGAATTTCACAACGAGTGTCTGATGAATTCCTACTGTGAACATGAACTCATGCCCATCCAGGGATTACTGCACGAAGATCCTTTACTCAGGGTTCAAATGTATCATGACTCAGCACTTGTTTCGCACATAACTGAGTCATTGTTAATGTTCATGTCGTGTGATCATGATTGACCGCCTGAAGAAGAATGTAACGTGTGTATCGTGTTTACAGACATCTGCGGTTGAAACGTTGCCTAAACGTGTGTTTTGATACTCGAACCAGAATACTTTCACGATATTATATCACACTCTTATTCACTTGACAGTTGTTGCGGGACTTGATTTATTTCCTAATCCTTTGTACATTCTCTGCGCCTGTTCTTCACTTATTGCTTGTGTAACTCGGCGGCTCTTGAAAATCTCTTTGTTCGCTTATCTTCCTTTTTGAAGGCCACTGTTGATTTGATTATTTTTACCCATTGTTTCGTCGGATTGCTGAAGCATAGCAGATTGCTGTATCGTATAGTTTGGAGTTGTTTCCCCTTCTCAGCGAGCCGCCGTGTCTTCCTTGTAGGTTCTCACTCTTCCAGATCACCCAACATGCTTCATAACTCTGTCACATGATCAGTCTGCTGTCATCTTCGACACAAGACAACCGGTGTCTGTACCCACTCCCTGCAGTCAGCGGTGTTACTTCCGTGACTCATCCGTCAGTCCACCAAATCCAAAAGGTTGGCACGCCGGATGTCTGCGTATGAAATTCGAATTTCCCGTGACGGCCGGGGATATTCATCCATTGGATGGAGCTCGCCGTATTGCGCTGGCTTTTGCCGATGGTTTCGTGCGTGTTTTCGATCTCCGGAGGCTCACCCAAGGTGTGTTGAAATTGTTTTGTCTCTTTTTAGTCAGGAACATCTGTCCTCAACTCGAAATGACCCACAAAACAATCTCATTTAGTGCATCTGGTTTATCACGATGAATCTATTATTTGGCTGCCAAATTTTCAGCAACGTAATGCCACGCATTTAGCCGATCGCCTACTTTTTCATGAGCTTTCCCAAACACACTCATATCTGTTTCAGTTTGTGCCCTTTCAGAATTCAAGTAACTTCTAGGATTCACTGAATTTGGTGTCCATGCCAAGTTTATCATTAGCTTGGCGCGTAACCTAGTTTCGAACTATACTGATGGGGACCAAGAGTGTTGAATCTAAGTGCTAGATCATCCCGAGTGTCTCAATGTAAGAAGACACAAGAGCCGAAATGGCGGTGAATTCACTAAAAAAAATTAGTCCAGAGTCAGGATGTTTGGTGGCTACTTTGTCTTTTGAAACTGACTCCTCATCGTATGATTAATATGAGGCTCTAGAGCTTGCTTGAATTTCATGTCATTGAGTTACCCGGAAGTTCAGTCTGGAGGACTTTTACTTCTTGATATGTCGTGAGAAATAGCGTGAATATTTCATCGTCACTGACGTCAACACTAAGGAAGGACATACGCTTCATGATCGTGCGTAAATATCTGGTGATGATTCCTGAAAAATTCGATGCGCGGAATGAGTGACTAAATTGATCCTAGGTCTGAACAAAAGCTGGATGAGAAATATGTCTTGGCAACATCATTGGGTTAAAAAATTTTCCAGGTGGGCACATTTTAGCAAGTAACCGACACAAAAGGCTGGTAACATCAATTCGATAACTGCCGAGCATGTGGTTAGTGGTCGGCTTGGTGCCTGGACGCATTGATCTTCCCTTCGACGCCGCAGCAATCAATAAAACAGTGCACTGTTTCGTAGTGTCAGTTTTGGTCGACCCAGATATCTATTTCTTTTTGGATACGGATAATTTAAGTTCGACTACATTCTCATTGAAATATTAGTCTGCCCAAATATTAGTTGTTGACACATTTGTTTCGTACAGACGGACGTAGTTGACAGCTTCAGGTCTAGCCTTTGTACAGGAGTGCGCGAAACAAAGTAGTTCCCTTGTGGTTACGGAAAGGTTGCTTACTCAGGAAATACTGTGGTGGATGGATAAAATACTTGACCGAGTATCGTAGATGTCTATGCAGCACTTTTGAATGTTTGCCACTTGGTTCCAAATTCTAAAGCCCAAATTATTTTACACTGTACGAGACCGCATTAATGAAGTTAGCTTGATGTGAGGGGATGCTGATTTTTGATGTGCGACTGGATTTACCGGTTACTATGCAGACAGTGGAGCCCGACGCTTATATATGAGAATTATCGAGAAGCGCACTGCTTATTTCTGTCTAAGAACTTGAGAGCCAAGACGGAAGCAAAAATGAGGCAAACTACTCGCCATTTGCATCTGAACACTCAAACAGGCACATTGTCATTCTATACCTCTTGGGACTGTTTTTCTAATTCAACTGTCCCAACTGCAATGCATGAGAGGTACTGTGTTTTTGTACCTCAATGCAGTTTTGTGCATATTTCCTTTGGGTCCTAGCCTACCCGGATGTCATTTCCAATATTGATCAGTAATGCTTTTTGGGTTGACTTCTTATGAAGACTGACCTCTTTATCTGAATTACCATATCAATTGAACGTGGTATAATCTCGGTTTTTGTCAGGAGGTTTGCTTGCTGGTGACTGAATGCAATCAGACGTCTATCGTAGCGACGAAGCGAGTTTCTTTACAACCCATTGCCTCAGTTTGTTTGTTTTGGGTGTATGATTACCTAGCTGTTGTCCAATACAACACAGAGCCTACGCGCTTACAACTTCGCGGTTGTGCGTTATTTCCCCGAAGTCAGTTATTGCAGTTTTTCCGATCCATTTCAACGGTAAACATTTGAGAGAAGCGCGAAGTCATCTCTATCTTTAGCCATCTTTCTACTCAGGCGCACGATACAGGAAGGGCGACTGCATTAAGGATCAGAACATTCCTGCCCAAACTACTCGTCAGGAAGTTCATACAGCACACCTTCTGAATTACATTTTTTCGATATGTTTTGTGAGCTATAAGAAGTCTTAACCTTATCGAGTCTGAGTGGATGTTTGACAAAAATTTGCGTCTGAAAAATTGTTTTCATCAGGGAGGATAATCTTAAACTATCGCCAGTTTGTTCGTTGGTTCTAGGAGTAAAAAAGCCGGCTTTCCGATTACGTGTGCTTTGACACCAGATAGTAGGCGATAGCTGGTGGTTGATCAGGTGTTCGTTAATCTGTTCCCCGAACTTTGCAATGGGCTTTCAGACGTTTCGTCCCCAGTCGAAGAGACATCACCAGTGTGCAGTTGAGTGCGTGAGGGACGAAATGTTTGCAAGCCAATTGCCAAGCCCGGCGAACAGATCAACGACCGTCTGATCCACCACCAGTAAGCACACCCATGCTACCAACATTTAGACACATTCACAGTAGGCAATAGCTGCTGCTTCCCGTTTCTCTTAATTTAATATCACTTAGATTAAGTCTATGACCGAAAGATCAGTGAATATACACTGTGCCGTTATTTCTATTTCCATAGGAATTTCCTCCATTGGCGATTCTGTGCAACCACTGCCCTATCAGATTACACGACCTTTGGGTTTACCCGCACAGGTCGAAGAGAGACGTTGTATCCGCCTGGATTACGGTCCGGGTCATATCACCTCCGTCAAGTTTGAGCCACCTTTTCCTCGCATCTACGACGGTTTGTTTCCTGCTAGTGGCGTTGGCAGCTCCGTAGGATTTGGTGCCCGTCACCTATTGGTCAGTCACATGTACGCCCCAGTGTTTTTGTTCGATTTAAACAAAACGGAATCCGCTGAGGACGTTGATCCAAAGGTAACTACTCTTTCCATAGTTTCGGGAACATTTATACTACGGCAGGCTTCGGGTTGGGTTCTTCATCACAATGTATTTAGTGGCACCCTGATCCGCTGTTTGAAAAATATTCACTCTACCGCTCTCGCCTCATCTTCCAGATGGTGTCAGCGAATGACCTCTTATTTTTAGCTTCACAACGGAGCATACATTGTTCAGGGCATTCAGTCGCCTTAGGTCCACAAGAGTTACGCTCCTCCGACCACTAACATTGAATTTATCGCTAAACCTCGTATCGCCTACGAACGTTGATGTTTTTCAGGAGAGGAGGGTTAACCTGTACGCAATGCATTTTGCACCCACAGTGTTCCAATTTTTGTTATGGGATCAGTACAGGCGATTCGCCTTCTTCTGTTTCGTAGAATACAACGTCCGGTGTACTCCGTTGATTCTGTTATCATAAGGTGAAGCACACTATAAAGGTGGATTGTGTTCACTTTCTACATCAACATGCTAGTCATAAGGTTTCATTTGTTTACCGTTGTTCCATTCACTCGCTGGTTTTTGTAAAGCCAGCGGGTCCAGTGATCAAGCAGTTAGTTTGCTGACTGATTTAGCAAGGGAGCAGATTCAGACCCGTTAATTAGCGTGATAAAAACTCGACGATGTTTTCTAAGTGTCGGTAGGGGTGATCCTGGCACCGAAAGCTAGTTTCGAGGTTCAAGTTAAAGCAACAGCCAAAAGTGATCAGCGAACAATACGGTAGGAACCACAAAAACGTTGATTACCCTACTTGGCAATATTCGTAAATAACCTCCCAGAAGAATCAGGTTTAGGCGATATTCACTTCGGGATTATCCAGCACTTAAACAACTAATCAAACCAATACCGTTGCGCTCAGGCATTGCCAATATCTGTCTGACTTCTTCCTTATAGACTTTGGACTGGCTCCCGCATACTCATGAAGACTCAGAAAGCCGTTCTCAAGAATCCGTCAACGGTGAAGCTGCCTCCCAAGGTACTCGAAGTAAGTGCACACTAGTCTGAAAGAAGGCCAATATTTAAAAAAAAGCTTATAGTTTCACGTTATCACAGGCTCAACATCCAGATGAGTGATTCCCTAATGACAATCTGTTACCCAACTTGTAGGCAGTGCTGATTACTATGGGTGCTCCCCGTCCCAAAGAGCTCACGGTTCGGGCCGGCTAAAATTATGTTCTTCCTGGTCGGGCTGTTCCGTGGGGTAGGTGGGACCGATTGCAACAGGGACGTCTACAAATTCTTATTATCAGCGCATTTGCATACCGTCATATCAAATGTGGAATACGGTTTGTGGGTAAAGTAGCTGCAAAATTTTACCATTTATCAGCTGCAGCTGGTTTTTTGCATAACTACTTGCCAACAGTTACCACAGAGCTACAAGTGCTTCTTCATGACGAATGTGGGTTTCTGTTCGCCATGCTAACAGAAGTGCACTTTGTGTTGGATAATAGACAGTGCATAGCTTCCTGAAACAGTCGTTTCACAGATTTGGAGGCCGATGTTCGGCGGAGGCGTTCATGGAATGAATGGCAGTAAACGTGTACAATAGTCAGCCATGTTTCGCACCTTCTTTACTGGTTACTACTTCCACATGGTCTTCAGTTGATATGTACAGCTCACTTGGTTAGGAACACAATAATCTTTTTCTGCTTAAGTTGGGTACATTATTCCATCTTCGTTTTTTATTGATCTCCTCCTTGCCGGACGCTAAACTGTTCAGAACGAACGTCGTTATTTTTACTACATAACAGCAGGAAGAAATACATAGCACGGCATAATAGGATGATGGTTTTCTCCCTCTCTCTCCGGGTAATTTACAACAAACGACTCTCTCAACGTCAGAAATATCCAGTAGTGTGTAATCTTTCTAATGTTCCAATATTTAGATATTTTCGTCTCTCGCTCACACATTCTTTTGAAGGAGTGTTTGATTGACCGTTGATTGAGTCCAACTTCGATGTGATGCCCTGATGCGTCTGATGACCATTCCTCATATGAACGTAAGGCTGTCCATGATAAGTCCCTCTCTTCCATTTTCTTTCAGCTCTTTATCGAACATTCCTTTCTCATGTTTGAATGGCAGCTAAGTACCAATATTTATTACTTTTGTATTGTTCTTGAGTCTGATGGTGGCTTAGTGGCTAGAGCGTGAATTTGCTGACCGGAAGGTCCGTGGTTCGAACCCGACCTCTGCCTCTCGACTTCCCCTGTCTATCTGGCAGTAACCCAGCCCTCGTGTTTCATTCGGATGGCATGCCAGTTAGACAACGAAAGCGTGCTACAACTGAACGATTTTTTCATAATGAATCCGTGATGGTAGGCTGTTTTCATGGCTACTGTTCTATGGCGTTCCTAACTTCACTTGACCTGAAGAGTTCATGTTTTCCCGGGTTATGGTCTGTACTGTCAAAGTATTGTATTGCCCTCCCATCGCGTCACATCAATTCTCTCAGTTGCTGTTTCTCGTATAGCGCTACTGTTCGGTCCCTAGGAGGCGCAACTACCAACTTCTACGCTACCTGAAGTCTTGTTTGTTTCGAAACGCGAACTTTTCGGGCTGACGCTCACGCCCGAACTCTTACTTTTCATCTTATTCTCTCGCTTCCCGTCTCATACTACCAAATTCACGAAGGGACTTGCGAAATACACTGCTGACTGACTCATGGACTCCACTGATCATGTGCAAGCACTACCAAACGCACTAACAAAACTAATCTCACGTCAAAGAGCCAAATTCAATGCTTACAGTGGAGTGCGCCTTAATGCTGCTCATTGTAATTCTTTTTCAGCTAGTCGGAGCCGCGATCCAGAAATCCGAATCGCACTTGCTTTCTTCCAGTAAGTAGGCTTTTTCCATTTGAGAGTACACTTGTCTGTAGCTTATCGGAGTCCGTTGATAGTCCAAAGACTATCAACTTCGGCAACTTATCGGTAGAACTCAACCAAATGTTCTAGTGAGTGTCCTACGAATTAACTTCCAACTGCTGGTATCCAAGTCCAGTGATATCCACATTGGTCGTTCCCTCTTTTCCGGTCATCACATCGAAAGTACTTCGGACCAGTTAGGTTTATCGTTTGGCCTGGGAGCTTTGAAAACCACGAGAAAGTTAGTCAAGATGAAACCGTCTCACAGTGGGACCCTTTCGATGCTGGCATGTAACTTTAAGGAAATCAGACAATAACAATCAAAGTGTCTGGTTTGGATTTGAACCAGTGGCATCCTGGCCGCTAGTTCACGTCTGAATGCCTGAAATCTTTCCAGCTGATAGAAGTATCAACCATACTGTGAATTCACCAGTGGTAATGGATAGGGAAAACCTATTTTGCTGTGCTGCTTTTATGTCTATCTTTTCTGCCGCGCCTGTCTCACGGGTTAAACCTTCATGGGATCCTTCGCGGGGATTATGAAAGGTCGAGCATAGCACTACACCATTTACTCCCTAACCCAAAGCTTTCACAAGTTCTTTTCATCAGGAACGTAACGAACTCGCGCATAATCGAACTGACCTTTAATTGAATTCGTCTCATGAAAATTCATCACATCAGCTCTGATACCCGCCTCTAGCCAGCCTTTCAGTGGTTCCCTCCATGATACCGTAATGTATTTATGTGAGAATTGATGTTCGATGTAGGTAGCTGTTGAAATAAAACCGTTCACTGTACTGAACTTTGCGACCGAATGAGCTCTGCGGCAGCGAAATTCAACTGAGAATATCAGAGAACCATTGTTTTTATTGGATGGCATCTCAGAAAACCGCACTACCAGATACTGCTTCAGTTCCGTAAAAGTGGGTTGTTTCCCTCTACCATTCATTGTAAACCTTGCGACTTCTGCAACTAAAAATAATCATTATTTCCCCTTGAGCTGTTGGCAAAAATATTTCCAAACACTCCCCCCAATCACAATCTTCCAGTTCTTTCATTATTACCGTTTAACAGTTTTCAATCGGTTACACCGTACATCATGCATTCATACGGAAGTTTCGACAAAGTCCCGGCAACCGAGTGTCGATTAGTGTTGCGTCGAATGTTCACATCATGCAGGTTTAGATTAGTCTAAGTTCAACTCCTTAATTTATCTAATAGGCAATACCATCAGTTGGATTCGACATGGGCGTTACGGTCGTGTGGTCGCACAGCTGTATTCAAGCAGCAAAAGTTCTTAGCACAATCTGCTAGCCATCAAAAGTAGCAGCGAAGTATTGCTAAACCTGTTCATTCCATGGTGCGAGCCAAAGACGCAGCAGAGTTATGTGAAATGCGCTAACTAGGTCTCATGTGTGAATACTTGACTGGGACTTTGAACAACTTAAGTGCCTAATCAACCTACGGGTTTGAAAAAGAATTACAAAGAATGATACCCCTAATATTGAATCAAAAGTTCGCGGAATGTTGAGTAAAGAAAGTCGCATGTCAAGTAGACCAGAGCGTAACACAATTAGGATTGAGTCGAATGATGAGTTGATGGAGTCGTGAACCAATACTTTGTGAGTTGAGCGGATTTGTGTGGTTTTTCGACTACCTGGCGATTTCAAAGAAGGGATCCAACGCAAAAGAGTTTAGAAACGACTAGTGTAGTACGTGGTCATCAGAACCAATCGCATCATATCCGTAAAGAACCCGTAAAGTATGTTAATGTTCCCCATGTTTGTTGTCGTGTATCTGTGGTTGCCGGAGAGGCTGATTATTCTGCCCTTTTCAGACGCTTGAATTTGATAAATGGGGTTCTCGTAGTATACGCCAGTGATCTTGTAAAATCGTCTCCTTCGTGTGTCAGCCAGTCGATTGAGCGGGTCGAATATATAAACCCTTCTTTAGATCTGATGGACTGCTTGAAGGAACTGTATCAAACCTCCATAAACAATTTTATTACCTTTCACTATCTTCATTCCGCAATCATGCTTGTCAGTTGGCTTGAGCGCCGAAGAAGTCAGCGCCAATCGCAAGTTAACGAAGAACACACAGCGGATCCACAACGTGAGGAGGAATCATCGGAGGATACCGAAGAACCGGAACCTGATACTGGTTTGGCTCCATCTGATGATGATGAAGCTTCCAACACAGAATCTCGTACGTCCTTATTAATTTTGTTCATCAAAAAGTTTGAGTGAAACAACCCATACTGAACTACTTCACTTCTAATCATCTGGTCACTTTTGATTCCCACAGTGGTTCGCTTAGCATAGTCTCTTTTTCATCTCGATTCTTGTTTCCATACTTCTGATGTTTTACAGCATCCACTTCTAGGAGTTGAGCAGATTTTGAGGGATCTGCCAACTTTATTTCGAAAGCATCCATAACCTACTAGAGTACCGTGAAAAGCTAGTCAAAGTAGGCTAAAGTTGTACTTCCGCTGTGTTTTTCATCATAATGACGTCGGTACTTTCCAAGCATAGGTTCAACCAGGGCGCAGTGCACCGCCTTTCGTAGGCTGCATCAAAGCCCGATTACTGTTAGTTGTAGGAGCATTGTACTAGTCTCTTGCGTAACTTGGGTTGGTAGTTCTGATGTGTGCTAGACTTTTTCTGTATGAAATTATACAAGGATAAGTTGGTATAGCTCATACGCTCTCTTATTCAATGTCTGTTACATACATCTAGAACTATCTACTTGATTGAATTAAATCATGGCGCGCTCAGGGAATGGTGTCCAGGAGTTATCACCAGAAAATCCAGATCGTTCCCGTTTCGAGGTGGATAACGAAAACAACTCAAGGCGTTTTGCATTGCCACGGAGCCCTTTTATTCATTGACCACTGGTCTAGACATGTATATCCACTTTCCTGAATGACTTGTTCTCCAAAGTACCAGTACAAGCAGTATTTGGTTATTTTCTCCTACTACTTTCAATATTTTCGGGGTTGTTTCTCATGTTACGCAATGACACCTCCGTAATTCTTTAATCCATTTTTTGGATATAATCTAGGTGTTTCGCCTTTCGATATTTTGACAAAGGAATACGTCTACAATGTGCTCCAATCTGCGAATCGTTGTCGTCAACTCAAAGCCTATCGTGGTCATCGTAGCTGTCGAACTGTGGTAAGCTTTTTGATCTGGACCACCTTGATACGTGATTTCTGACTACACAGTCGCACAGGAAGACGTCCGTAGATATTACAGTGATATTTTTGAACTGCGTAATGTATCTTACCTCTGTGACCTCTGTCTCTGCGACGCGAGAAGCACGGATCTGATTAACTTCGAACACTAAGTGACTTCTGGGGAAGGAAGGTGACGGAGTTGGCTGCGCGCTGAATTGGCACGCATTGACTTTCGAAGCTAGTTAAACAATGTAACGCGTCACTGTCACATGAGTTATTGTATGGTTCCCCTGTTTGATTGGGTGCCGTTCTCACTAGATTAGACACAGTCTTTTCACTTTGTCACGACCGACCCCTCTGCAGAGGTGAATTGGCTTCATGGATGCTGTGGGCATTGCAGGCATTATCTACCTTCTGGTCTTTGTGGAACCTTAGCAAGGCATAACCCTGTCATCCTGAACGAAAATCTAGCAAGGAAACAACGCGTTGTTTCCGTGAAGGCACTCGAAACGATAGGCAAACTTTTCACTCCGGAACAGCTGATTGGGCACTTGATACGCCTGGTTCACGGATCTACGGGGATGAAACTTAGGTCTCTTCCAGCACCGAAATTCACTAGAGAATCTGTATCCTACGTTATGCATCATCATCATCGTCAAAGACACTATACTCATGCTTAAAGTCCTCGAGTGAAAAGAAGAGAAAAAGAGTGGGTGACGGAGAGTACCTATTGATGGCCTATGTCAAGCATTCTGAGGTGCCTACACCTCCAACCGCTCAATCTGGAAGGAAAGTGATAGCATGGACGCCACTGACATCGATTAGCCGCCATTTCTTGCAGCATCTCCAGCCAAGCACAGACTGGGTCACGGGGACCCCATCCTGGAAGGTGCACAACAACGAAAACCCCAAACTCTCCATGATCACTTTCACGCTTTTCTGCCAAGTCATGCGCTGTTCACCTCGCGGTTCGCGCCATCCCCAAGAAGGCACGGAGAACACCGTCTCGGTAGACGGTGTTTCGGCATGCGTAGCACATGACCTTACGTTATGCATGAGAACTGGATGGTTGACCAATTAGATCTGGCGCGTAAATAGGAATTTTCCCCCTCTGATGATCGACTTCATAGGCGATGGGCACAATGGTCTTTTCATTTGCCTTCAGGACAAAGTGTAGTCCTTGGTCAGACTGCATCTTTGACATGGATCAGTACTGTTAATTATTTGATTGTACAACCCCAAAAACATATATTGTGGAAGTTTTCAACTGGGACGAGATGCCGAGCTAGTTAAACCTTACTCTGATGATTTAAATGACACTGGTGCGACTTCTGTTCATTCTGCTCATAATTGTGGACGACCGCCCCGGTAGATGTTTGGTGCGATCCTGGCGTTTATCAACGACGTAACGCGAGAGAATAGTTTTGATTGTCACAGTTCTTTCTAATCGAACCGCTTGTTTTCCTTGTTTCCTGGATCATAACTTCGATTTGCCGTACACACATTGTGAATAGCTCCAATTACGTTATCATTCAAGACATCCGCAATACGCATCTTTGTTCACTCCGTTTTATCTGTTTTAGCTTGAGTACGTATAAACCAACCAGGATGTTCCAAGTCCGTTGATTGCTAATACCCTTTTGCCTGTACGAGAACGCAATTGTTTGACAGTCAGCTGTTAATACATTCACTTGCCATAGTCAGCTGTATAATACAGCTAGGCTTCTGGTGATCAATGTTGGTTTGTTGGACAGACTTAGAAGCTTACCTAAACTGGGATCTGATAATACGTTGATGACCGTACTTTGTTCCATCAGAGTTCAGGGCAATGAACAATGGGAAACATGGTTTTGTTAGCTTATCATTCTCGTATCTGTCTTGTCTACCGGTCAACTGTTGAGTTATCAGCGTGATGTGTAGAGGTCGCTTGTTCAAGTGACAGCCAGGTTTGTACATATTCTTTAACTACACTGCGGTGGGCCTAACCAAACGTGTACCAATGCCCTCAGTCGTCGCTATGAGCCATGGTTCATATCCTCTTGAGAAAAATTAATTGATTATTAAATTGCTCAGCTCGATAATTCAATTTCTACTCAGGTGCTGACTCCCTGATACTGGAAGCGGTTTTCCGGGTTCAACTTCTACTCAGGTACTAACTTCGGGTACTAACTTTCGGTCCAAAACATTCAATGCGTATGCCGTTAAATGGTTATGAAACACGTCAAACGGGCTTGTTATATGGAGTTATAGGAAGTTATTTTACGCCGTCATTTTCAGAGCGCAGCTAATAAACCATTTTATGAAGCATCTCTTTCGTCATTGTCATGCACTTTGATCAGTAAGGAAAAAGGGTGTCCAAAATGTCAACAAATAACAACAATACTGCGGGATGCACGTTTCAATAACGCCCGTCTGCTGTGCACATCTACGCTGTTCAGGAACTAAAGTCTGATGTATCCACATGGACATGACAGTTGAAGGACATGCATTTTCAAGGCTTCATAAAGTTTGACTAGTTTGACCAGTTCAAGTGAATGCTGAGTTCCGCCTTTTTTCTGTCACATTTTAGATAAAGGATGCCGTGTTTTGGGGACGGGACCACATACTTTCTGGTTCGGAATGTGGACACGTGATTGCTTGGAATAGACATACTGGTAAACCGGTTCGTGTGATTAAGGCAGACAATGCGGTTGTTAATCGTATCGCTCCCCATCCCACGCTTCCACGTGAGTTGCAGTAATTCATGCCTCTAATGAAACTTGTGTTCTCTTGATTTTCACATCCCACTGTATACACTTTGTCCAGCGTAACCTTCATCCAACTGCCTCCGTAGGACAACCTTATAACACTGGGTTACTAGAAAATATACTTCCCTATCCGCAACAAAGTAGTTTCCAATGCATCCCAAGTCTATCCGGACTGAAAAGTTAGCATGGGAAAGTTGCACCTATACAAGCATAATCTTTTCGACAAATAACACTAAATGCCCTTCCCGTCCATTTCTGTAGTTGGTGTTGGCGTATCAGTGTTTAAAAAGTCTTTTTCAGCCATTTTATCAACCGTTCCAACAAATATTCATGTTCGATCGTGAGTTACGAGCTCATTCATCCAGAACTCAGAATAATGGTCAACATTGGCGAGCTGTTTTAGTGCGAAGTGAGGAAAAATAGGCTTTTTAAGGTTGTTTTTTCTGTTGAAAATGAAGTAGAAAACCTGTTTGCCCAGCGCAGATGTTGCAGTCCTTCATTGAATTGATTGAATGCTCCAGGATAGTTGAATCGATTGACCTCATCTGACCTCTCACAGGAGTTTGTCTCTATCGCCGACCAAATCATATGTACTTTTTTTAATCCGCTTTCTTTCCCTAAGGCACTGTTTCGCTTGTGAAAATTTTTGCGAAACTATTTGGTCCGAAAAGTTGTTCAAAAACGGATGCAAAACTTTCCGTTATATTATGGTCGATGAACTGCCTCCCTAATGCATTGGGTCTATGAGATCTTCACTCTAGGGCTGCTGTGACTTGGTGGACGATCGTGCAACTCTGTGTCGGTCCCTTGGCTTCCTGCTCCGCCCGATACGGTGTATCAAAAGGCACCGTAGCTCTACACAGCCCCTTCATGGGGAGAAAGCAAAATTATTAGAACTGTATTTATAGGGTAGTCACAGAGTACTCCACAAAGTCGTGCCAGAATCTCCGTGAGGGGGCGAGGAGCGTCGAGTCAAAGGTGCTTGACTCGGATTGGCTGGCATTCTGACCATTCAGGGCATGCCTTCGTTTGGCTCTATCCTGCACGTGACATCCGTCCAAATGGTGTGGTGTTCGGTTATTAGGGACGGCTGGCCTCCGTACAAAAGCGGATTTCAAACTCGTTGAATGATGGCAGTCCACCTGGATAGCACTAATCTCCTCTCCACTGTGACGTAGGGACACTTAGTCGGGAATGAAGGCATTCTTTCCACTTTCAGTTTCTATGACGTGACGGTATATCCGCTTGATTCACTAACCTTATCATAGTTTTCGACAGAACATGTTCAACTACCCTTTCCCCGGTTTGTGTATGAATTGAACGGAGCTAGCTGTTCTATACCCTCAAAGTACATCTGATCACGTCATTGCCTTTGGAATCAGGAACTCTATCGAACTTGTGGTCCGGACAAGTACGGTGACAACAAACCAGTGCGTTCCTGGTGCGCTCATATGTTATTGTGTCATAGTTCAACTTCCGTTCCAGAGATGATGAAAACTAACAAAGTAACTTGCAAGTGCCTGTGGTCGCCTGATTTGGGTGAGATCTGGGCAGCATAGAAGAATAAGGCGACAGGACGAAGCCTCAGGATAGTTTGGGGGTCAACAACTATCAGAGTGCTGCATCCGATTAGTGGCTGAATAGAGCAAGAGCTCGAAAAGCAAAAGTAGCCCCTGAAAACCCAGTAGTTCAACGTCCGCCTTAGCTGTGGAGGGCCCCTGTCCTCCGGTGCCGCAATGTTATTCTGAGCAGAGCTGCAGTAACTGGGGAGACTGAACAACTACCATCGTTTATTTTTGAAGAGCTTGGTCACATGTATAAAAAGTGAATGCAAGCGATGAAAGTGAAAGGTTTACAGGAGAATATGAGATGAAAGAGAGAAGTGTCTCATTCGAAGTTATGCCACCAATAGTTACAGTCAGATAAGATGAATCCCAACGTATGTAAGAATTTTTCACGCCTTAGAGCTACAGTTCTGTTGACTTGCTGTTTTCTGTGCTTTCCACAATGTTAAGGAAAACTGCGCTTCCATCGATTGCGAAAGCCTTCACCAAAGAGTTTCAACAGTGGATACCACAACGGAAATAACATTTACTCTTGGGTTTACGTAGTAAACATGATGTTGAAGCGAAACGAAATGGGGATTTGCTGCGAATTTGTAGAATAAAATTCCAGATATTGACAGTATAGCTAGTTTGCGGACTGGCCTGAACAAACTTGTCGTCTGTATAACGCCAAACTACCTCCTGTGGGCACTAGAACTGGACCACAATTTTCTGTCCAAAGTGCTCCTTGAAACTGTTAACCACGTCGAGAATATTCGATTTCCAGTTGCTAAATCTTGTTCTTTGGAGCAGCAACTTAAATGTGAAGCAGTGCCATTGATATTTCATGTCTTCAACTGTCTCATCTTAGGAGAGTTGCCCTCGTTTTTGCATCGCTGTCTCTCAGTAACAACCGTTTTGCCGTTCGCTAACCATCTTAATTAGAGACATTTGTACGCATCGAACTGATATCTAAAAACTAACAGCCGAAACTCTCCTGCTTTCCTGTAACGCTGGTGTATTGGGTAAGTGCTGGAAATCTGGTTAGCTGATCTGTTGATCTTGTGATTCACCTCACTTACGAAGTATTGGCAACCGGCAATGCCGTGCTTGGATACGATATGATTTCATTTGATGTCTGAATCGAGATTACTCAGCCTCACTTGGCCCGGTGAGGCCAAGTCCAGTCTGATCATGACTGTTGAAAAAACCATGTGTTTACTATAGCCCCATCGACTGTCCCGGCCTCCGGTGATCACCCCAAAGGACAGCTGTTTATGCGGTCAGATGAATTCCGATGTATATTTGGCTGATCGTGACGTTTAGCAAATCACACGCCCAGAGGTCTCATTAGCCTAGTTGGATATTCGAAACTGGTCACAGGTACCTTCCGGCCGATAAACCTCCTCACTGGACAAAATGACCGCACTATCTATTTACTATCATTAGCATACCGTTCCTTCGACTTTCTATGCAAATGTGGATGGTCTGGGAATTTGTTCATTTCGGCTTGCCATCGACTTATAACCTTGCAGTGAGCGCACGGAGCATCAACGTGAGGTGGCTTCTCATTCGTTTGTTTCCGTAACGGCCTATGAACCTTTTGATCTGATTGTATTTGTATTTGCATATTCAAGCAATCCATGTTTTAAAGGCTTTAACTCTCGAATTCTGGCATCGTTTCGATGTGGACCATCCTCCACCATGAGCGAGGATGGTACCATAGATACAAGCAATAGAATCGCACATAATCAGCCGTTATCTGAACCGTTTTCATAGAATCGCACATAATCAGCCGTTATCTGGACCGTTTTATGGCTACCTTGAAGTTCTTGCGAACAACTGACTCTAGGTGGCGCCAGATAGAGCAGATACAAGTGTGATCGACATTTCCGCTAGAAGTCGAGAACAGCACATTTCGGCAACTAGTTCGTTTCATTCTTTTCCCGCCATCTTAAGACCTATATACATTATCACCCTAGGTTTTGTGAAATATGAAGATGATGTACCAATGCAGTCAAAGAGCCTGTTGTCCGCCTTTCTACTGGCATTAACTGAACAGCTACGTTTACCAAGGAAGAGAATGTCATTTTTAACTGTGTAGGGTGAACCTTTTAGATAATCAGTGAACAGGTGAATCCCAATCCTTCGTAACATTTTCCATAAAAATTCCAACAAAATGTGATGTTTTATTGCTTTATGGGCAGCTTAAATTCTGAGATCCTGGTCTCATCACGTGAAGAAGCTAAAATATCGGCTTCCAGGCATGCTTTAATCGCATGGAACCAGAATATCCAACGTTCAGTGTTAGCGGAATGCTCCAAGCACCATTGTTGGCTGGCTACGTTTTGCGAGAGACACGAAGGGTTAGTAGTGGAACTGCTTTTATTTCGCCGCGTGGTATTCAAAAACCTAGAAACCAGAAGTGCGTTGTCTTCCGCTCGCTTGAGATCTTTCGCGTGCAGGTCGCTTTTTCACCAGACCATCATTCACCTATTTTAACCACGGGTGTAAATGTACCCGTTTCGCAACTGCTCGCTGGGATACTCAACACGAGCTGGGACAACCGGACTTTCGGTGTTATGCAATGTCTTTCGAGCTTCATTGTTTGCCCAACTAAGTGCTCTACGACCACTTACCTAACGCTTTTGGTAGTCTATTTGCCCATACTGTGCTACTGCTCTACCAGAACCTCGTTTCCAGTTGTCTGTTGAACCAGTGGCTATTTTGCTTCCGTGCTAGTGTATCTGTTGTTTCATTACTATCAGTCTTCGCATGCAGTGGAATCGATCATGCAGTCAAACTCGTGGAACCCAATCCCCAAATTTACGACACTACAGAAGACCTGTATGAAGAATATACAAGGATTTCGAGACAACACGTATCTGAAGCCACTACGGTAAGGAGTTGTGTTTATCGTCTTTATTGTTTCAAACGTCTAATAATAGCGAATTCTTGCTCTCATTTATAATGCATGAAGAGTAGAAAGAACGCGATCCAACGTTAGAAGACCCGTACGAAATGTGTGGGCCTGAAGTCTAGCATCCGTCTTAGGACAAGGATTCGTTTCAGTGACGCACCCCTTAAGATTCCAGACGCTAGTTGACTTAGAATCCGGATGTTAGCTTGGTGAGTGTAGTATTAGTTATTTGGCGCATTCGACTTCTGTTCGCCCTAATTGGGAGGAAGTAAACGGCTTGTGCACGAAGACCTCACGGAAACATGAAACAAATGTAACCTAAAACTAAGGGTCGTGGGAATCGTAGAACCTCGCTGGTTGGTTGTTCACAGTAGTCAGCTGAGGGTTTCGGATTTGTTGTCACACTTGCTGAACTGGTTTTTTGCCTATGTTTGGTACATAGTATTGTGCTTCTGTGTTGATTCAAACAGATAGTTTTTGTTTCAGTTGTGTGAAGAAAATGCCAAATACACGATTGATTCGCTGCAATCTGGGTCGCTTCACCTTGAACGACTCGCACGCCTGCGCACCAGTCAAGGTCAGTTTATGGATGATGTATTTGTAATGTGTGGGGTGAGATGGCTCAGGAGTTAGAGTGCGAATTTACCAGCCCAACCTCTGCATTTCGACTTTTTGCCACATATTCTTACAGTAAGCCAGTTTCACCTTACTTGAAAACGTTTGCTTCTAGTATGTTTCTCAGAAACCTCACACTGCCTACTCACTCAGCATCAGGCTCGATTGACACCTGACAAACGTTTCTGTGCATCGATCTGCACCTTATTGGGTTGTTTCGCTGGAATTCGTACGACAATCCTTTGTGTGGTTTGAAGTTTTTGTAGCCTATTTCAACGAGGATTTGAGTAGCTTTCCTCCAGTATTCTAAAGGTATTCTGGTTATTTTAAACCTCAGTGGATGGACAAGCACGCGGATTTTCGCTTGAGGTGTTATTCTCAATGGCATCTCTCTAGTTACCTCCCGTATTAGACTGCGATTGACTTCTAAGTATTGGACAAAGTGTGAGCAGTTTCGGCTTTTCCTATCAGTACTCTAGATTGAAATATCCATATTGGAGTCACAATGCGTCACAGCTGCTCCCTCGGTCGATCATATGTGAACGGAAGCCGCTCGGTTTTTAACCCTAACACTGAAAGACAAAATCTTTGCTCTTTTCTCTATTAAAAACTATCGAGGCTCCCATCTATGATGCACTTATAGTCAGGGCATTTTCCGAACAGATATCAACAAGCGACGATTAGTGTCTCCTGAACAAACCAATATTGAACCTTTCCATATCCATACGTCCATTCAACATAGCATCGTGTTTCGAGGGAACTGTGTTGCACGGGATTGTTCAGCGTATTCCTTTGTTACACTGGGACTGACGCCTTTCCGCCGTTTTCTCTACTCTCCAAATAGCGCATAGCGTCAACCTAAAATGCATAACACCAACTCCGTCAAGTTGTGGTAGATGGTTAGTCCACCAGAATGCTTTTTTGGATATGAATATCCGCATCATTATACAGTTTCGTTTTTTTTTGAAAAGAATGAAAATTTGTTTCTAATGTTTAACGTTGCACACCGCTGATGGGCGATTATCGGTCTCTTGTCGCATCGTGGACCATCAGTTCAGCCAGACAAAAGAGCCTACGTTGTACCCGAACTGGATTGACTACTGCGTGCAACAAACGGGGTTGCTACACCTGCCGTCCCCGGATGCAACAGGAACTCTTTTTTTTCAAAATGGCACCGTACTGGTGTTCTATGGGTCCACATCCCCTCTGTCTCGGTTGTCGACTGTTTATCACAGGTCCCCAATCGGTCAACTCCGTGCGTGTTTCGTATTGCCACCGATCAGCTTTCAGACACTGTGTCACTTGATGAAAGCCGAAATAATTGCCAACCGGAACGCGAGGGATCTAACTCGAACAAAATACTGAATGGCACAAACTCAAACCCTCCTTCTAGGTGGATATCTGTCGGTTAGGGTTGTTCCGAATCACCCTGCAACATCCGGACTTTGTTCAGCTAATAAGGCGCGAGCTACCAACCAACTGGCCCGATTTTGAAACCAGTAGTTAGACTCTTGTGGACAACCATTTAGGCCTTGGGAACTCGGTAGTATCACGGCGCATGGTAGCCTTTTGCGGTGGGAATTAAAGCGCTCACGGATGTATTCCTCTGTTGACGCACGAACGCTAAACAGACCTCGGCAATCTGCATCAAATGCACACTAATTTGGTTTCAATGGAGATTCAACTGAATTCCAACTGAAGCGCCCATTTATGATATTCTTCCACTAAATGTGTTGCACAAACTGTTGCCTCATGTTTCAGTTGAAACGATGTTCGATGTGTCATAATACGTTGTTGGGACGGAACATAATACTCACTTAAGTAACTCGTTGAAGCCAGTTTAGTGAAGAAATGAGTGTATTTCGGGAAATGTTTCCAGTTTGGGTTCAAGTAGGACGTGAGGTTGACGGAACCCTGTAGACTGCGCACACCTGATGAGCGCCAGGAAGGACGAAACCGGTGGTGGAGTGTCGACGTTTTCAGCGACCTTATGAGTAATGTGGTCCGTCTAGGCAGTTTCTAAATGCAATTCTTGGGATATCATGAAGGATGTACAACACTTCGGGCCTCATACCTCACTGTGCCTGGTTGGAGACACTACAAGATATGGCTGCCAACCGATGTTGTCAGTTTCTATCCAGATCACCTGAGTGAATGTCTAGAGGTATAGGCACCCCGAAATGATTGTGGTAAGCTAGCACTAAGTCCCTTCCTCGTCCACTTTTACTCTTTTCTTTACAATAAGGCTTTCAAATAAATCATTGTTGTACGGAAGTGAATCATCGGTGTTGAACACTGATGTCATGCTGTCGATGGTGTTGATGATACCACGGGTTGACAACCCCATGGGACACTGTACTCTATCGCCGTGTCATCTTTTGTCTTCCTCCGAAACACCTAGAAACATTCTTAAGATGAAAAGGTACGTTTGCATTGTGGTCGTGTGGGACAGTTTGATTCAGCCACTTTGTCAACAGCACGAACCTTCGCGCGGCATAATGTGTGTACAGATCACACCTACTCCCAACCATCAGGTCACGCACTGGGCTTGGACAACTCTTTGTTTGGCGTAATCTGATTTGTTGCTCACATTTTGAAAGTAGTGTGGAACTGTTTACTGAAATAGTACGGACCAGCCGAAGAAGGTGTCGCTTTACATTTCATGGTGGATAAATTAAACTTTCCACAAATACCTCAGTGCCATAGCTTACCGATTATGATTTCTCCGCACACCAGTAGATGTTTGTTCTATTCTCTCATGATTCCAAGCGAGATAGTTGTACAGTGTTAATCGCACAGGTTAAATTCACTGGTAGAATGAAACTACAATACGAATAGAGAATAGCTAATTAGTTGGTTTATCAGACGTAATTTGTTTGTACTTCTTATGGAATTTACGTAGCTTCTTCAACGTTCAAACGAATCATGAATCCCAACTGATCACGTGTGTCACCCAAATTTTATTACACTGGGGGCATCTGCTACACCTTTCTACCCTTTTTTTTTATCGATTTACAGCCCTTCGCCAGATCCTTCATCGTCTAATGGGCCCAAATCGACCAAGTACTTGATATTATCAGCGTTTCGACGCAGTGCTTAGGCACTTGGCAAAATGCAATCCAAGGGGCATGCTTGTTCTGAGTACTAGGAATCACCTCATCACTTGTATTCCTATTGATCACATGGCGCTTTCTGAATCTACGTTGTGGTGGATATAGTCCAACATCTTGCTTGTTCGCCAGAGAAACCTGACCCCATTGTTCTGGATCGCAGAATCATCAAATCCACACCAGAATTCGAAAGACCTTTACTGTCCCCAATTTCATCTTGTTCTCCGGACGTCAATTTTTCATCTTTCATTGCCGACCGCCCTGCACAGAATAGCTGTTTTTTCTGTCAGCAGGAATAGGGGTTCGCCTGCAACAGCTTTCTTGTTTGACTTCATTTTTCTAACCAGATTTCTGGACGACTCATTCATTCAATCGACCGTCTTTCCACGTAACCGTCGAATCTGTACTCTTTCTTCACCATGTCTTGCTCATAGAGTCATTTGTGATGCATTTCTGGTTAATTCTGTTCGTTTCAAACGTCTGCGCTCAGATAATCTAGGTAGCTGGTCAGCAATATCAGCGTTGTCCATCTGTGTTTACCTGTCATGCATGTGAGATATCAATGGTTGAGAGTCTGCAGGCCAGAGTTCTTCGTGCCCATTAGTTCGTGGCGACATGTGGCTAAATTTCGGTACAAAAGTCAACTAAGAACAGTTTCCGATAGACTCACCGCTCTGGTACCTCCAATTTTGTTCCTCAGAGCAAGGAAGTCAACGAAAAGCTCATTAAGTAAACTAAAAACCCATGGGGAGGCCATCAGGAATAATTGTCGCTCATCTTCACTGCTCGAAAAAAATCGTCCAGCTGTAACACCTTTTCAGTTCCTAGCTGTCATGCCATGCTGACGGAGTGTCAATCGAAAATTTCAGCCCTGACTGGCAAATCAGATCAATGTTGAATGTCAGTGAAAAGGTCTTGTCGGTTACTGTGGGTGGTAATGTCCTGCGACCAACGGGTTGGCGGATCGGGTTTAGGTTCTTGGTTTTATGGTTCAGGGTGCTTCAACGGATGATTCTTGTTGGACGCCTCTGGTAAATTTTTTTGGTGTTTGTGGGTTTGTTACTGCTACGATAATTTGATCAACAGAGTGAGATCACGGGGTTTTTAGGTAGGCTTGGTCTATCCACTGTAACTCTAAGCTACTTCTGTTGATAACGCTTATTTACTGATAACCACACATCATGCATCAGCTCGATTTCTTCAGAACCATCCTTACACGCTGGTCAGTTCTGTGCCTTCTGTTCTATTCGCTAGGATGCTGGGGATTCCGCGTGCCTCAGTTACCGGTGTCCGTGTCATGAACCGTAACTCCCACCTCCAAACGTCACCACTTTCTTGAGTTATTTTGTCGCGTGTCTATCGCATGCCCCGTTACTGAGTCTTTCACTAACGCTCGATATTCATCTGTGTTTCTCAGCGGTCTGCTTATTTTTCCGTTTTTCCCCCCTAATACCTAGGGACTATTGGTGCTTTGCAAAAGATCAGTTTTTAGGCCTGTGTATTCCTTCACGTTTATATCTGATTATGAAAATATGAGCAGGCTGTAAGCTGCGCTCATCCCAGTTGAAGCGAGTTACCTGATTACTGCTTGGCGTGTTTACCGGAAGTACATGATTTAAGGTGAATAGACTAGTTCCACCGTGGATTCACCCCAGCGAACAAAAAAACAATAAAACAAGAACTGTACCGTGAAAACCATTCATTTTGCTGTATAAAGAGTTTATCGATTGGTTTCTAAGGCTACTTTTGCAATGTGATTGTGCAGTTTAACCAACCAAGCTTGGTGTTACCAAGTCTTATCTGCAACGTTCAAACAAACCGTAAGAAACCAGTGTAGCACTGTTTCCACATAAGGGGTATTCAAGCAAACCGTACTTCTAAGGAGATGTAGCATGAGGGCAACCGTTAAAAGCAGTGTAAGAATCTCACAGGACGATTGCAGCTACACACGGTTCACACTCAGTGGGCAGCAGGAACAGGCGGACGAGGACAGTAGATGCTGTATTCAGAACAGGGTTTATGGACAAACGGGTTAATAAACATCATGAAGCGCAATCGGTAGGAGCATAATAATGGTCAATAAGACAGCAGAGCTTTCTGGAAACAACACTAAGTAAGTGCCGAACGATGTGCAAACGTACAGACGCGGGCAGTCAGGTAGTACAGGTTGGTGGTATACAGGGACAAAAACGCAAAAAAGGGACGTGGCAACTCGTGTCGCGTGTCAAATTGGATTGCACGCTTAAGTCCGTTTAAAACGAACCCTCAACAAAGGCTGCTGAAAATTCTTCGGCTGGTTCTGCCCTTGTTAAACTGCGCGAGGAAATAATAGACTAGCAACTGATAAATCACCTCAGCGTTTTTGGCCCGCCTCACTGTAGGAGCCAAGTCCTAGGCTTCGTGGAGGCTCGTGACATGCCACAAACTTTGTACCCCAGGAGAATTCTATGCATAAGCTATGGAGGCTGCACTGGCAATCGTTATCTGATAATACTGGGCAATAACGGCAAAATATATTGCTCTGTAGAAAGAAAATTGGAACTAGTCCGATTACGGGAAGCTCCTGAGGTGAGATCAAAACCGTCATAAGAACGACGGTAACTTACAAAGCTTATGCTTTGTTATTGTTCACCTTTAAAAGTGCATCACAAATTTGTACGACACAATATTCTCAATAATGGTCCGAATTGTAGTGCTGGTAGCAATAACGGATTGCCTGACAAGAGTGATTTCGTCCAGGTGTGATGCGATTGCATTCAAGCTCATCTTCCGACCATCACTCACAGCAACTAGACTGTGGAACCGCGTCCTGTTCAACATTTTCTGATGTTCTCATGCTTCTCTAGGGTTCATAAAGGTGTCGCTCAGTTGATGGGAAAGTTCGGTTCTCTTCAGTTTTCGATGTGGCTGGTTGGATGGACGCGCAAGCTGCATGTTGTTGAAAATTTCGTTCATGATCTGAGCCAGCCAGAGAAAAGTGCTGGTCAGATCACGATGCCTTCACAACGGGTTTACAAGGAAGCAGTCTATTGGTTTTAAGTTTTTCCGGGTGCATGTAAGCTCGAGTTCAGCACTGACAAAAACGCCATAGTTTCATTACAGTGCTTCAAACTCACCATTCAAAGTGAGGAGCACTCGGACTGTGTCTCCCCAATGAAGCACTGAACCATATACATTCACTGGTTTGAACTTAGGCCTAGAGTTGTGTATATTGTCCCATATATCTTGGCAGAGTTCGTATTAAGTATTCGGGGATATCTATTTAAGGAAATGAGAAAGACGTGCGAAACAAAACAAACAGAATTTCTCCATCCTCCTATATGTGATATGTGTTATGTGTGTCTTACATGTGATATGTGATAGTGTCTTCTGAGATGTGAAGCTCTTTTGGAGTATCCGAGAAATAAAGGGTTACAGATCAACAGGACCCCACAGTGGCTGCCAACTGATGTCAGTGGCGTTCTTGTTGTCAGTTTCTATCCAGATCGCCTGAGTGAGTGTCTGGTGGTTTGGGCACCTCGGAATGATTGTGGTAAGCTAGCACTAAGTCCCTTCCTCGTCCACTTTTACTCTTTCCTTTACAATAAGGCTTTCAAATAAATCATTGTTGTACGGCAGTGAAGCATCGGTGTTGAACACTGATGTCACGCTGTCAAAGATAATGATGACGACAGTGGTAAACCTCACGTGGTGACTAACTGACAGAGTTATCATATTTATTCTGGTCAGAATTGAGTGGAAATGTTGAAATTGAGATTTGTTGTGGTTTCCCGGCAAGTCCTCATTTTAGTGAGCAGAGACTGGGGAAAATTTGAGAGTAACATGAAGAAATCTACTCAGAATATCGTGGTTCCTTTGAGCAGAATCAAGAGAGGGCGGTAAGTGCTATCACTGGGTGTAGCTGAACACAAATCGAATTTAAAACTATGTAGGAACATGAAGAACCGACTCGCGATAAGAGATTACTTGATAAATGTATTATCCCAATTAGGAAACCCCAAATGGGTAGAATGAAAGTCATTCACTCGACAGGCTCCTAGTTGGAGCTGTAGCTGGGAACGTTTCATTATCAGCCTCACGACTCCCCAACTGTTGGGGTCTGTTTGATTTATGCCCAGTTTTAGTACAGTAAACAATGTATAATGGCTCACGAGAGAATGTAACGAACGCTTTCATAAAGGAAGCTACCTACAAGGTTGCTGAAAACTCTTCGACAGCCCACGACCGGTTTCGCCCTTCTTGGGGCTCATCAGGTAGATGCAGTCCCCGAGTTTCCGTCAACTTTATGATTTACTTGAACCCAAATTGCACTGTTTTCGAGAAATACACTCATTTGCAAATCCATTTGGCTTTCACGGGGGACTCAACTGAATCCCTCGTTTATGATGTCCTCCAGTTGAATGTGCTGCACACAGGCCGCCTCATGATTCAGTTGGCAGTACATTCAGCTGGAGGACATCATAAACGAGAGATTAAATTGAGTCTCCCGTGAAAACCAAAATGATTTACAGATGAGTGTATTTCTCGTAACGAACGCTTCTTTTTCAGGATTAAATCTGTGGGGCACCGCTTTCTTGATTGTAAATTCCTGCTCTGTGATCGCGATATGATGGATCGCGCTTTTCCCAAATCCGTAGCACATGAGAACTGAGACAACAATAAATACGGTTCGAGTCAAAGAAGACACCTGACGTTTGCATTCATGCATGTGTGAACACCGCATATTGATTTATTTCAGTAAACAATAGTTAATGAGTTGTACCTAATCATCACTTATATCTTTTGTAACTGTACATTAAGGCATGCCGTTGTTAAGTTTTATGGTATGCAGGTGAAGTGCACTGCCAACTTTCGGGAGTGATTAATTATTTTCCTTTCACACTTGTTGGGCAGTTTATAACTTCTTTGTGCAACCTGTAATCGACCGAGTTGGGGCTCCAGTGACCTCCGATATTCTAAGCGTTTATAGGAGCTCTAGCTCTGATCTTTCTTTATTCAACGAAACACTGCGTTACTCCTATTGGCCAATTGTGTTGCAACGCACAATATTTAAGGGACCACATACATGGCTTGCCTTGCAAACGTGGATTTGCAATGTATTGCATCCCTTTCGTCATATTAGTTCTGTTTATTTCTTGCTCGGGACGTTTTTGGTGAGTGAAATAAGAGTACTTCGTTTTTAAGCTAACCTACAAAATCGTCTCAAATGGACAATTGAATGGCCTCATTGCAGTCTCAATCTACCTTAATTTGAGAAAAGGTTTATCATGATGTGATGTGATGCAATTTAGTTTAACTGTATGAGAGCTGAAAATTGCCTCGGATAGTACTGAATTCACATGTTTACTTTCAGCGTCTTCAGGTCTCCTTGTGATATGGTGGCACTTCTATCCGAAAATGTACATACTGAACGCTAGTTCACGTTGGACCGTTGCTGATCGACTCGATGGCCATATTTCAGGAGGTGCCAGTGTTCCCGAAAAAC